GATCTTGAGATACGTGTCTGAACCATCTATTTCTTCCAAGCTGCTTTCGTCTGCGGCGCTATTTTAAGGCTCTCCGTTGGTGCTCCAGGTAAGATTTCCAAGCCTGATACTGTTCTTTTGGACCTTTTCAACCCTTTTCGTAAATTTCGAAATCCTAGTAGCTAGTTGCCTCCTGCTCCTCCCTGAGTTCCACTGAATGTTCTTATTTAGTTTTTGACGAATTCACCCGATTCACCCCCGCCACATAGCTTTGGGGTAACAGTTTCTCATCTCCAAAAATGATCATCTACCAATTATATGGAATGGCAGGGCGGTCTGAGAGGTGTGCATAGAGTATATCTGGTTTCGAAGAAAATTTGGTTGGCGTTACACGAGGCTAAAGATTACATTCGTTTCGCATGAGTGGGACTATTCATCGAGTAAAGGTTAAGAGGGCGTGGATTGCAAAAAGAACTATGACGAATTGGATAGCACGTGTAGTCGGTTTTTGTTAGAAATTTACAAATAACCTTGGTGGAAGATTTTGTTCCCTTGACAGACATCTAAGAACTGGTTTATGTAGTTCATTAGGATGACACAATGTCCGAGAAACAGCGATGGGAACATCTTCATGTTCTTCTTCTGTACTACGATTTGGTGACCTGCACCAGGTGATGTCATCCAAGTTTGTGAAGTTTTTATTTTTGTTCTCTTTGACCATGATGAGTGGGGCACAGATACTGGCAGAATACTTACCTTAACTTCCGGTAGATAAGCCCACGCCATTTGCCTTCAGAGTAATTTGACGCCCTGATTACGAAAATGACTTCAATTTCTAGCGGTGGCGCCATTTGGCGCCAGTTGGCGCCACCTTGTCACGACACCTGTTTTCACCAAATTTGGTGTAAACTTCCGTATAGGGTTATTTGGTGTCCTGATTACGAATATGACATTCATTCTCGGCGCTGGCGCTATTTGGCGCCTATTTTCTGCTCGTCTGCGCTCTCCAACCGAGAATATGCACTAAACAACGTTAACGCCAAAAACGAATGTCATATTCGTAATCAGGGCACCAAATAACCCTATACAGAAGTTTATACGATTTTGCTTGAAACTGGCGCCATAAGGCACCACCGCTAAAAATGAATGTCGTTTTCGTAATCAGCATATCGAATTACCTATGGGCAAGTTACGGTTGTCTCTAGATGTACGCAAGTGCACTGCACCAGCGGAGGTGTTTTTACGTGATATCGGCGCGGGCTTATCTACCGGAAATTAGGGTAGTTGGCCCAAAGTTATGAGTTGGAACTGCATATCGTATCAACGCTTATCTGTACTCAGGCTACCTATTTCAAAAATTCCAAAGTTCTCATTCAACGTGGCTGTCCATATGATAACTTCCTTTGGAAGAGTACTTCCCGGAAAATTCATGATTCTACTCAACCAAAAATCACTGGTTTCAAACCCATCGTTCACGATAATAACAAAAAGAACGAAAAATTACAAAAACTGCATTTGTACTGGTAGACACTCGAAGAACCGGGAAGACTGCTAGTATTTGAATTCCCACCGGACATCTGTCACTGGCGGCGGGAACGCTTCCGTGTGCTTCCATTGCTGTCTCTAGGAACTCTTCTTCACCTTTAGACTTACTGCACTAATGGAAAGATCTCACGCTTCCACTGCATCCGATACGTTTCGTCTCCATTCTTCAAAATCGAACACTTTCATTAGATTTTATTTTGGAATTCTATGCCACTGTGCTTCTTATTCTTGTGATTCCCAAGAGTTCCGAAATGGACGAGTGCATTCGACTGATGAATGAACAGTCACAGTACATCAAACTCACTCGCGAAACACCACACGACGGTTGGTTGCCCTACCTCAACACACAAGTAAGCTTATCCAATGGCATCGTTCGCGTGAAATGATACCGCAAAAGTAGCTCAAAAAATATCCTGATCCACGCGACATCAGCTTATCCAAAGCTATTGCTGTCGAGCATGCTGTAGTGAGCAACATGTTCTAGCTACGAAAATCGCCACGGATAACGGCTATGCGATACAGCGACATCAAAGACGGCATATCATCAGAGGAGGAGTACCGCGTGAACGATGTTCAACTCATCGATATACCACATCAAAACGTTGGACGCCAGCTTGTTTGAAACAGGCTCTATGATAGGAGGATGTGTCAGACGGTTGTGTTATTTGCCCGTAAGGTAAAGCAGGAGATTGTGTGTATAGAGGGAGGCACAAGAATGAGAAGCACAGTAAATTTAATTCCAAATAAAGTGCACAGTGTTGGCGCATGAGACGGAAATTTTTGCTAGAAAGGCTTTGGAAGCATTCTGGATTTCGCAAGAAATCCAGCGATGAACAACCGAGATGAGCGGCCTTCAATGACAAGGTGATCTTTCGCCGTTTATGCCGCACTTTTCTGTAGAGCTTCTGACTGAACCTCGGAACCGCTAGAGCGGATAGGCGCTTCGGTGGAGTAGAATGTGAACCTCAACCTTGAACCACATTTAGGCCTCTGAGGACGACGATTTGTCGAAACGTTAGGCCGAAAACGTTCCACCTATCAACCTCGTGTGGCACACAAAACAAACACAAATAAGCTTTCATTAGATTTCAATGCGTTGCAATACGTGACGAAATAAGGCGTCCTTTTTTTTCATGCCCCGCCTTTGGTGCCGCGCTATCTACCTTCGGTGTCCGTGGAGTGTGATATACGCAAGCTTGTTCCTCTTTGACGACCGAACCTTTGTGCGTGAAACCTTGACATATTCATGTTTAGAACGAAAGCCAGAATTTCCCGGCAGGTTGTTTTTGTTTGTTAACTGCTGTTTTTGGCCGCAGTTCGCCTTGCGAATGTTTCACAAGAATGCTGGGTTGTGAACAAAACTTTCGCCCCAGGCGGGACTAGAACCCGCACCTCTCGCTTTCCGGGCAAGTGCGCTACCAGTTACGCTACCGGGGCACCATTTCATCCCAACTCAGCTTTTCATGGTATACGTACCATAGCTTTCAGCACTCACACGTATAACGTGTTGAGCCGGTTAGCCGATATCGGCAATGACCGCGAGGGTGTGCTATGGTAAGTATACCATGAAAAGCTGAGTTGGGATGAAATGGTGCCCCGGTAGCGTAACTGGTAGCGCACTTGCCCGGTAAGAAAGCGAGAGGTGCGGGTTCTAGTCCCGTCTGGGGCGAAAGTTTTGTTCACAACCCAGCATTCTTGTGAAGGTTGCCGGGAAGGACTCTTTTGAGCGGGCCCTAGAGATATCGACTCTGGTTCAAATGAATTCCTTCGAGATTTCATCCCATGCTTTTCGAAGAGCAGTTTTTAGCGGTCCAGTGAAGCTGCGATGTTCTGATTCGTTCCGCATCAAACTGGTCAAATAAAGGTAATCACGTCGAGAAACTAGTGAATTAAATGCAAAAAAGAACACTGACGAATTGGAGGGCGGTGTACCTGCTTTTTGTAAGAAATTTACACTTTTGTCTGTGACAGACACTTTTCTTTCCTATGAGACAACTGAATACTTGTTTCCAAGGTCTCAGTGATCACAACAAGAGACTGAAAAAAATGAATGAGATCATTCCCAAGACTTTTTCTGCGCTATTACACCGCACTCTTGCGTCAATTGATGATACACCAAGTCTGGAAATTTTCAGTTCTGCTTTCTCATACGTATTGAGTGGGGCACAGACTTGGTAACAAAATAGTTATACAAAACTTATGGGTAGAAAGTGGACATCAACCCTGTCCTGGGTCGGTCAGGAAGGGTACGCGGTTTCGAGCTCTCAAGTTCAAAGCATCGTGGTTCTATGTACAGAACATACTGTGTCGTGACCAGCTGCCGACTGAAGTGCGCATCGGGGTTCCCGCACCTGGACCACGCGAGAACGTGGGAGTTGTCGGTGCCCACACACCCTCGCGGGGTACACCTGCCGCGCCGAATGCTCTGCGATGCCTTGCCACGGGCTACTAAAGCCTTACCCCTGAAATACGATTTACGTGTTACTGCGTTAGCTATGATTACGAGTGAATATGTTGTTCAAACCGACTACGAATTGCACACTACCCCACAGAATATTATGACTCCTTTATGACCGTAAACTACGATGACAGGAATTGACTACTATGGAGAGAAGAGTATAATACCTAAAAGTCATATACATCTGCATACCTGGGAGGAGAGGTGGCTATGTGAGGAGCAAACCATGATCGACTCGTTGCATGAGTATACCCCAGGGTCAGGGTCAGGACGATAGGCTTCGACGACGAACAGACGCGAATGACTGCACTGACGAACACTGACTTGACTGACCCACTGCGTGTCGCCGCGCGCCCCTAATATATAGCTAGTTCCTAGCCCGACGCTTCAGTGCATTCTACTCGTGTCGCTTTTAAGAGCCGGAGTTGACTTCTTCTCTGGCGCGAGTGCGCTGCTGTTTCATTCTCGGCGTCTATATTCTGGTAGAGAAATACTCCAAAAACAGGTCCGTACGGCAAGTTCACGCCTCGATTACTGTATTATCCTGCAAAGATGGCCTTTCTGTTAGTAAGAATCATTGTGTAGGCTGAAAGCGGTCGGAAAGCGAATTTCACCCTAATAATGTCGCGAAGGGCGACAAAAGCACCTAATGAGAGACATAAGTGAAAATATAGACTATGACTGAAGATCCTTCTTGGAAAGAATTTCATGGAATACACAGCGGTGTGCACCATTGACACCGCCACAAAAAAATCGACTTTTCTGCTCTCTGACACACTTTCCGCACTTAGTTGCTGCGCATTGGGCTCATGTTAGATATATACCACGAAAACTCATAGAGACGTTGCATGCACTAGTGTGCCAAACCGACTCTGACGTAAGTAGGGAAGGGAGGGATGTTCGGGCACCACCTTCTTCGTACAAGATGCGGTAGTCTGATTATTCAGAGGTGAGTTCGCACGAACGTCATCTTCCGCGAAGTGTGTGTAGAGGCGCGAATTAGTGAGCGACCCACTACGGTAGTGGACCTGGCCATCCGCTATACCGGGAGGGTGTTCGTCCGGAGGGGTGAAGGCCGTACCCTCCCTTGAAACTGTTACTGCATGTTCCCGTTGTTCGACTCTGTCCTGGTTCATTTGGCTTTTTGCAATGAGACGTATAATTAGGAATAGGCCATAATTGATAGCACTCGACGTCTAAGAAACACATCTGTAAAATGGGGCAGGGGGAAAGAATAAAGTAAGGTTTACGTATTACGCTCTCGATATATTATGTCATAGGCATTCTCACAATTCATTCACGATGGCCGGCGCAGTGATTCTCTGTCTAACTATCGGCGGTTAGCTTTTGATAACCTAGTTTTAGATCCACATTTTCGTTGGATTGCCGAGAAACTCAGAAATGGTTTTTTCTGTTGCCTATTGAGGTCGAAGTCACTTCATTTCATACCTGTCGCTAATGATATGATTCGCTTGTCGGAATGTGAACTTCCGAGCGTGGCAAAATGGACCAAGACGTCTTCGCCGTCTTCCACGAGCGTGCCGCTGGTCACTGAAGCCGGGCCTTCAGGTGACTGCAACATGCCTTGCTGTTCACTTTCGTACCTTGTATGCCATGTTTAAGCTCGTTTGAGCAATTTTTGTACATTCGTATTTCATTTAGGGGCGC